GCCCGGGTGCGGGGACTTACTCAGACGTCGCCAAGTCCCGTTTTTGCCTACAAAACAGAGAAAAAAGGGGAAAAAAAGCATATAATGATGGTGAGAAGAGCTCTCACCACCCCCAGGTTGCCCTAGGGCCATGATGGTCAGGGAAAGGGCACCCAACCCGGGGTGCCCATGTCCTGGGTGGGGTGTGGGGATCCCCACCCTGAGTGTGCCCCCCCCCTCCCAACTCACACTCCTTCCCTGCGGCAGCACATGAGGTGGCCCAGGAGCAGGCAGAGCAGCGCGGCCACCAACAGCGGCACCAGCAGCGTCACCAGGAACCCGGGCAGCAGGTCCTGGGGGGGGGCCTCAGTGGGGGGCTGGAAATCCCCCTCCTCCTCCAGCACCCCAGAACCCCACACCGGCCCTGGCAATGTAGGGCTTGGCCAGACCTGCAGCTGTAACGGAGTGATGGTTGGGGGGGAAACCCCATGGGAATGGGTGAGTGGGGTCGGAGGGGGGATTTTTGGGGGGGCGGGTCTCACCAAGGTGAGGTTGCACCAGCGGATGGCAAAGTGGGGGGCGAAGGTGTCGTAGCAGGAGGCGAGGGGCTGCTGGCCTAGGCTGCAGAGCAAGCGGCTCTGGGGCGAGGTGGCCGATGCCAGGCAGGGCGAGAAGCCACCCCGGGAGCCCACCTTCACGTACACCCTGTGGGGATAGTGTGGGGACACACACACACCGGTTGGAGGTGGGCCCCCCCAAAAATCCACGCATGGAGGCTGAGGGGTCTACCCAGCACCCCCCAGGTGTGCCCGTACCCCTCCTTGCGCCCCTCTATGGGCAGTGGGACGCGGCCACCCCGGTCCAGGGCGGAGGTGACATTGATGATGTGGAGATCGTCCTGCTCCCAGACACCAGCTGTGGCCTGGAGGAACATGTCCTGCGCAGCCACCGGCAGCAGCTCCTCCACGTTCCTGTTCCCCACCAGGAACTCACCCTGGTATGGTGGGTCTCCACCTGTCAGGGGGGACACGTGGCACCCATGGGGACACGGTCCTGGGGGTGTCCGGGACAGCCCGGTGTGATTTGGGGGTGCACAGCCCTTACCTGGAGCGGGGATGACAGTGATGACAAGGAGCTGTGCCACTGTCTCGTAGGTGTGTCGGTTGTACGCCAGCACCTGCAAGCCAAGGAGAACCCCCAGGAAGATGCCAGCCCACCCGCTGTGTCACCCCCTGGTGTGGGACCACGAGTGTGGGCACCTACCTCGATGGCGTGGGTGCCCACCTCGGTGGCCGTGGGGCAGCCGTAGAGGTAGCCCGGCTGGTGGGGGTCACGTTGGATGTACCGCAGCCACCACGGCAGGTCGGGGTGGTCCTGGAGGTGGGCTTGGAAGGTGATGGGGGGGGCTACTGGGCGCCGGGACACGCAGACGAGCGGGGACAGACATAGACACGGGGACACGGATGCCACCAGGCTGTGCGATGGGCGGACCCCCGCCCTGCAAGCCCTTCACCATCCAACTGGTCCCAACATGGAAGCACAACTGGTCTGTGCCCCAAGAGGTGTGGGGGGGGTTCTTCTCCCTTTTTTTATGGTGAGGGACCCCAAATGGAGGTGACCCCCAACCCCTCAGTGGTGGGGGATGAAGGGAAGCTCACGGGTGGCTTTAACAGCGCAACGGGGGGGGGTGCTCGGGGGTGCCCAAATGGGTAGAGGGGATGGAGGGTGAGGGTGGGATTGGGGGACAAATGGATGGATGGACGGACGGACGGATGGACAGGGACATGCCCAGTGGGGAGTCGGGCACTTGCCAGTGGCCCCATTAACAGTCCCAGCACCCCCAACCCAAGCACCGCAGGACACCCACCGCCCTCGGTCCCCACTCCTCTCAGCCCAGCCCTCACCGCCATCATCCTCATGCCTGGTGAGGAAGGCCTCCTGGAACAGCTCCCGCTCCAGCTCATGGACGAAGATGGCTCCGGTCTCAGAGGAGATGTGGTGGTCGGGGAGGGTGGCCCAGGACCCCCCCAGGGCCATGACTGCGGCCAGGCACAGGGCTAGAGCCAGGGCTGGGGAACACGGCTCCTCCCTGCCTCAGTTTCCCCATTCCCCAGAGACCCCAGGATGACTCGTAGGTGCCCACAGCCCCCCCGGGACACTTGGCCGGGGCAGGAACATGTCCCTGCAGTTGCCAGCCATCCTGGGACAACGAGGGGGGGGGTCTAAATTTAGGAGGGGATGGGGACAGGGACAGCACCTTCCCTTGTCCCAGACTTGTCCCAGACAGGTCCCACTCGGTCCCCGCCATCCCAAACCCAGCTGCCACCAGGGATAGGAGGGCTTTATTTAGCTCTGTCACGTCCCAGCCCTGTCCCCCCAGTTCCCGTCCCCTCCTGCCAGCACCCCCCATCCCCACTCTGCTCTGGGGGTCCCCCCAATTTCCTCCCTTCTGGGGGTACCCCCAGCCCAGCCGTGTCTCCCCCAGGGGGGTGACAGTGCTGCCACTCGCCTGCCAGCACCCAGACCCGGAGCAGCTTGGGGGCCTCCATCTTCGCCTCCACCCGGGAGTGGGGCCAGGGCTGATTGACGGAGGCAGCGGGGCTGGGCTGGCCGGGGGGGCCCGCCTGGGGCGGTCCCACGGGGCACAAGGCAGGGGACTCCATCACTGCCACCTCCTGCCACCAAGGGACCATGGCACAGAGCCCCTCCGGCTGCCGAGGGGCTCCAATGTCCCCTGGGGGGGATCCAGCGGGGTGTCCCCCGGGTGGGCTTGCCTTGGTGCCCCCCCCATGGGTAGTGGGGGCACAGGATGGGGCACAGTGGGGTGGGGGGACCCCTGGGGACAGCTGACCCCCCCCTCCTCGCTGGCATGGCAGGCAGCCTGCCATCACCACTGCCCCGCACACGCCTGTGCCCTTGTGCGGCACCGACAGAACACGTGTGTGCACACGCGTGTGTGTGCACAGGGGGTGGGTGTGTGTGCGTGGGGCGGGACGGCGGCCCTCGGCGGGACGAAGCAGAGGGGGCCGAGACAGCGGAGAGCGGCGGTGGCGGGGGGGCAGGCCCCGCGGGGGGGTTTTGCTGGGGGGGCGGGGAGGAGGAAGCGATGGCAGCAGCGGAAGGGGAAGGGGAAGGGGGTGGCCATGG